TCTGTATCAATAAAACATTTTAGACTGAGTGGTTGAAAGGCAGAAGATGGTTTGGTCCAGCAAGCTTGTCTTTTTATTTGGGCTGTTGGACCTCTGTACTCAGTGGGCTGTCACAAGTGAGGGCCAGCCAGGACTTTCCCTCCCCAGTCCTTCTCCACCCAAGAAATTAGCCAAGTGCAGTCAGAGCACAGCTTCTCCTTCTGCTTTCCACTTCTCATTCTTAAGTAATATATTTTCATCAGATACAACCTTTGGGACACGCAGGTCAGCTCTGCTCTGTGGGGCAGGGAAACTGGAGAAAGAAGAGAATGGTCACATATAATCACAATGCCTGGTGGCCACCACTTTTTACACTTTGTGAATGTCATTTCAGTACACTCACAATCTTACCATACACCCTGTGCATACTGTAATGCCCTGTATACTGCCAACAACCCTAGGAGTCTTCCATCAAATAACTTCTAATGACTGATCATATACTGCTATTTTACTGTAATGATTGTGATTTATTTAATCAGTTTATACCTTAATCAGTTGTCAATAGCAAAATAACAGAAGATAAAACCATAGTGAATTTTCTTACTGTCACTTTTTTGCCATGATTTACTTCCTTGGAGTAAATTCCTGAAAGTGAAATGCTTCTTGAAAAGAATCACCAGATATTTAAGGCTTTTTGTATATGTAATCATCTGTTTTTTCAGGTGTATCAAAGAATTTAACAATCATGTCAGCTGCTGGGCATTATTACTTGAATTTTTTGGTCCATTTATTAGACAGACACTGGTTTCTGCTTATATTTATTTGTATTTTGGTACTAGTACAACTGAACATTTTTTTGCATTTTTATTACTGGTCATTTGTATTTCTTCCTTTGTAAATTCTTGTTTATGGTTATTGCCTGATTTTCTATTATGACATCAAATTTGAATGAAAGAACTAGAAGGTAAGAGACTGATGAATTTAGGCCATAAAAGTTCTATTCAACAAACATTATTGTCACCTCCTTTTTTCACAGGGCTCTTTATTCTTGGATAAGCTTATAATCTGGTGCAGGTAGAGAAAATCCTGCTGTGAGATTTGTTTGAGGCTTAAATTTTCTGAGGAAGATGCAGACTATTAATATAACATATTGTGCTTATAATTTATAAATAAAAACACAAGGAATTCTTGACATAAGATATTGTATTTGCCTGGGTAATTTCTCTGCATTTGTAGGCAATTAACTGAGAAGTCATGTGGAAAACATGAGTTCTCCTGGTATGTCGCTCTTGTCAGCTAACACTCAATTATGGACTGTGGTTGCTGCTGTTACCACTGTAACTCGGAGCACACAGTCTCCTTGGGGACCTGTGGGTGTTTGGTAAGAACAATAGGAGATGTGTGGCTGATTTCTTATACTTTGGACAAATAGGAAATAATGTGGCTCCACAGTTGCTTCCTCTGAGTGTCCACCAGGAGGGGAGAGGAGTTTGCAAGGGAGAGGTTGCAAAAGAGGTTGGAGTGAAGCAGATCAGTCTGTGTTCTGGCCCCACACTGCCCACCACGTGACCGTGGCAGGTCGCAGACTCTTGTCTGTGACATGAAGCTTCATTCAACAGCTTTCAGCTTTAGAACTAGGGCCAGACTGATCACAGATGGAAAGCATGTGTTTCATATTAGGTGCTAAAACCTTGGTACCCTCATTAGAGAACAGTGCTCACTCTAAATTTGGGGCCGGGTTCTATATGTGAACAAATGTGATATTTTTGAAAAAATGATTCTAGTGAAGAAAAATAACAAAAAGAGAGTAGTTCCTAATAGTATTTAACAAGCTTCAGAAGATTTAAGCTTGGTGGACAAGTAAAAAGTTGCTCTTCTAAGTTACATGAGAATAATTTACTCCCTACTCATTGGTGGAATAAAATCTACTAAATTTTGGACAGACTGGCTGGGTCAGAACTATATTTATGTTTTTTTTTTTTCAGGCTGCTTACTTGCTGTGTTTTGCCAAGGAAAAGAGATTATACATTATAATGTGAACACTTACTTAACAATACTGATTTTTTTTTACCCTAGTATGTCTCCCTGCCTTTTTCTTTTCTTTTTTTTTAAACTTCAGCCTCATAATAGCCATTTAGGGAGGCAGTCAGATATTAGGTGTCTGGCTTCTCTGTTGACGAAAATGACTTTATCATTTACCCTTTCATCTTTGCTGCCTTGAATGGTGTCTGGACCATCATTCATGGTCCTTAGAACTAGTTAATTAAACAACAATAATAAACAACTAACAATTTTTACACAGATTTGAGGTAGGTATTATATAACACCTCTGACACAGATATAAAAACTGAAGTTTAAGAGAATTGAGTAAATTATCCAAGGTCTCATAATGCCAGAGCCAAGACTCAAATCTAAGACTACATCTAGATCCATTTATGTTTCATGTTCTGTTTCTAGTGGGCGGTGCTGCTCTAGGAGACAGCGTGTACCCGTCAAAGTGCTTAATTCTTTATTCTATGGCACATGTTAACTCCTTAACTTTTACAATTTATAAAAGTGAACAATACATTGTTGTTACTGTTATGGTTGTTGTTGTTTCGCTTAGCCAGTTGTTCATAACTGAAGCTTTAGAGACTGTATCTTCCTTGCAGGCTAACGAGTTAGTTGGTTTCATAGATGCTGGCAAAAGATGTGAGACTCCTGGGTGAGAGATAAGGAACTTTGTTACTCATGGTACAATGTGCAGCATGATAGCAGCATATTTGCATTGATTCCTCTTGCTCCTAGATCCCATATAGGCTCGGGTGGGTCACGAATATGCAGAGACTTTGTGATACAGCTAAGGATCCTGAGACTGAGGTGTAGTACTTTCTGAGCAGGCTAAAAGCATTGAAGAAAGAAAAAGGTACCAGATAAGCCAATCTTCCTGTTGTTGTAAGAGAGAAGTCACGCTGTCATTGCCTTGCTAGTTACTATTGGAATTAGCCACAGAGCCACTCCTGACCAGAAGGCAGATCAGCTTTGTAATCTGGCACATGCCATAAAAATGTATACAGGGGCCAGGGATTTAGCTCGGTGGTTCCGGCGCCTGCCTCACAAGCGCAAGGTCCCCAGTTTGATTCCCAGTACCAAAAAAAAAAAAAAAAAAGAAGAAGAAAAGAAAAATGTACACAGATTTCACGGTGCATAGTGGACTACTTTTCCTAATCGTTAGTTGTCAATAAAATTTAAAATTAGGGAAAATGTTCTTTTGTATTTATCCACATATTTATTATTTTCAGTGCTCTTTTTTCTTATTAGGGACATATTTCCCACCTATTATGACTTCATTTTAAATTGAAGAACTTCCTTTAATACTTCTTGAAGTGCAGATCTTGTGGTAGTAAATTCCCTTAGCTTTTGTTTAGCTGAAAATACCTTTATTTCATTTTTAGTTATTTTTTCATTCTTTTGAAATAGTTTTTTGGAAGTGTTTTAACTGTATGTAGAATTCTAGGTAACAACTGCTTGTCCAGTACCTTAGAGATCTTGTCTCATTATATTTTGGTCTACACTGAATCTGAAGAGCAGTTAAGGATTATTTTTATTATTGTTGCCTGGCAGTTTCTTTTTTCTTTGTCTACTTCTAATATTTCCTCTTTATCTTTGGTTTTCATAAGTTTGATTTTGATATGTCTTGTTGTGGTTCTGAGATAATTGGAGCCATGAATTGAGTTATTTAATACTTCGAAAAATTTAAGTTATTACTTCTTTAATTGTTTTTCTGGCTGGGCATAGTGGTGCATACCAGTAATCGCAGCACTCAGAAGGCTGAAGCAGGAAGATCGCTGTGAGTTTAAGGCCAGTCTGGGCTACATAGTGAGTTCAAACCCAGCCTGAACTGCATAGCGAGATCCTGTCTCAAAAACAAAAACAAACAAAAAAATTCTGCTCTGATATTTATTTCTTCTCTCCCTAGGACTCAGATTACTTGTATGTTAGTCTGATATTATCACACAGATCATTAAGCCTCTGTTCATTTTTTTTTCTATCTTATTTATCTCAGTGTTTCAGTTTGGAAATTTTCTGTCTGGTGGTCAAAATATAATATTTCTATTGTAAATAATATATTTCAGTTACCTAATTTCTATGTAGCTACATTTTATAATTTCTATTTTTCTGCTGAGATTGCCCATCTGTTCACTCATCACACTCATATTTTCCTTAATACCAGTTTTAAAGCCCTTGTCAACTAAATAGATAAGTCACCTCTAGATGTTTCCATTAATGATATATTATAGGTAATTTTTTTGCCCTTTAAAAGTGTCTAGTAAGGGCCAGGGATTTAGCTTAGTGGTTCTGCCGCCTGCCTCACAAGTGCAAGGTCCCGAGTTCAATCCCTGGTACCAAAAGAATAAACAAACAAAAAAACAACAAAAAACTGAAAAAAAACCACCCCAAAAAGTGTCTAGTAATTTTTTCATTCTATTGTAGGCATTGTGAATGTTACATTGTTCAAAGTGGTGACATAGAGGCAAGTGCAATGAAAGACAGCATAGTCTAATTCTTTACAATATCTCTGGAAGATGCACTTTATGTTGTATGCTGAAAATTTCTAGTGTAATTTTCACAGCTTTCTGAGGTTCTGTGATATGTTATGAAGAAAGGGATACTATAGAGTATCATTCTATAACGTTTAAGTTTTTACAATGATCATATAGCACTTCAGCAATTTGAAAAGAAAATTCAAAAATAGTATCCAATAAACAGACTTTCATTTTTAATATCATTTCCTGAAACCTTAAAGAACATCTTCAAGATCTTCAAAGTCAGTTTCCTGTTGCAACAGCACCTTTTTTGTTTTCTTTAATTTTCACACTTTCTATGGCAGAAGGAAAATGTTAACTGATAAGCTTTCTAATTTTTTAAAAAAGAGGGTTGTTTTTCCACTGCAGTGAGTTGTCATTGGTAGATTATAACATAAGATGCTAAAGCTGGTCTGTCAGGAAATATGTGAACAAATTGACATGTCTTTGTTAAAATATAAAATGTGGAAATTTATCCATATTTCCTCCTTTAAGGAACAAAAGGAGTTCTCCCCTGAGGACTTGAGTTTTTGAGTTTTCTCCAAAGACAGAGGTCCAGACAGTTGGAGAAAGCAGAAGACGCACACATGAAGGAATTGCCCTTATCAGCTTAACATCAGGTGAGCATGGCACTGTGTGTGTGATCTGGGGAATTCTTTGTGGAAGTTCTGGAGATAGGGTAAGCCTATTCATGTTGAGTATTTCAGTCTAGAAAGTCAGTTGCAACACACAGGAAAAGCTGAAACAGACTGCTTCCTGCAATCTTTTTTGCAATAGCCTTCATATCTAAGAACCGAAAACTCCACCTAATTCAAACAGCGAACAGATTTTAAAATGTCAGGGACAGCTGGAGAATGATTCTCTCAAAGTCCTGGGGCTCAAAAATACTTGTCAGCTTGGGACGACAAGGAGAAAGAAGCTGCACTCCAGCTGTTCAAACAGAAATTGTTATCTCCAAAAGCTTTCCTTTTAAAATGGGCCATTCCTCTTCTCCCTGTGATATTGTAAAATATATATTTAGTCCTTGTCCCTGTTCCCTTATACACAGCTCTGAAATGCCTTGGAGTCCGCAGGGTGATGAGTGTCTTTTCTGTGCCAGTGAGGTAACTAGAGGCTGGCAGGCCCTGGGTAGTTTTACAAAAGCGGCTCGTTTTTTCCCTCCTGCTTCTCCAGCCAGCTCTCTGGTGGACCTAGCTCTGTTTCCACTCAACCTCAGCTTCCATGCTGTAAACTGAGCAGCTGTTCTTGCCTCTATCTCTGCAGGATAGTTGAGGATCATTTCACCAGAAAGACCAAGGATCAGCAAGATCAGAGGGTTGGAACTTCCAGTCTCACCCCTTCTCCTGCAAAGAAGAGGAAGAGCTGAAGGCTAGGTTAGTCATTCATGGCCATAACCGATTTGTCATGTCTGTATAAGAAAGCTTCCATAAGAACCCCCATGACAGTGCTGGGGCATTTCTGGGAGGCTGAACACACAGAAGGCAGGGATGCTCCATGCCCCCTCTCCCACACTTGGCCCCGGCATCTCTCCCACCTGATCATTCATACGTATCCTTTCTCATAGCCTTCATAACAAAGGGGAAATACGTTTTCCTGAGTCCTGTGAGCTGAATCCACAGAGAAGGTTGTGGGAATCCTGATTTATAGTTGGTGAATCTGAAGCAAAGGCTACAAGGAGGGATTGCAAATGGGATCTGAAGTGGAGGTGGTCTTGCGGATTGAGCTCTCAATTTGTGAGATCTGAGGCCATGGCCAGGTAGGCAGTGCCAGGTCACATTAAGTCAGACGACATCCATCTGGTGTCTTCTGGAGAACTGCTTGATTGGGTTGCATGGGCACTGAGTGACTGAGTGTTCTGAGAGGGAAGCAGTTTGGCTTTTCCCTGGTACGTCCCCAGCCAGGGAACCTGGTCTATTCCCATGCAACCTTGACGTCTGCGACATAAACCTGTAGCTCTTTCCAATTCTCTCTCTCTCTCTCTCTCTCTCTCTCTCTCTCTCTCTCTCTCTCTCTCTCTCTCTTCCTTTCTACAGTTTCTCAATATTTAGTGTGTGGAAAATGCACATGCCTGAGATGAACGTGC